AATTTAAAAGAAATTTCTACATTTTTTCCCCCTTTCAACTGATAGACCTTGCATAGTATTTCACAGACTCATCAGTCAAAACGGGACATGTCGGTCAAAAATACCACATCTTGGTATTTTCTGAGTAGTGCTTTGAGATAAAATTTAAAAAAGAAAAGAAATTTCTACATTTTTTTCCCCTTTCAACTGATAGACCTTGCATAGTATTTCACAGACTCATCAGTCAAAACGGGACATGTCGGTCAAAACTACCACATCTTGGTATTTTCTGAGTAGTGCTTTGAGATAAAATTTAAAAAAGAAAAGAAATTTCTACATTTTTGTCCCCTTTCAACTGATAGACCTTACATAGTATGTCACAGACTCATCAGTCAAAACAGGACATGTCGATCAAAACTACCAGATCTTGGTATTTTCTGAGTAGTGCTTTGAGATAAAATTTAAAAAAAAAAAGAAGAAATTTCTACATTTTTTTTTCTTTCAACTGATGATTATAGGCCTTACATAGTATATGTATGTCTCTCACTCGTCAGTCAAAACCGAACATGTCAGTCAAAATCTAATCTTGGTCGTTTTCCCGAACAGTGCCGGAAATTCATACATTTTTCACCACAGGAAACAGAATTATATTTTACAATTCTATTAAACATATCTTACATTGCACTTGTACATACATATATGTATTGATGGATGGATGAAAGCGTCATCATTTACTGGTATTACCAGGCAACAATAAATAAACACTTGATACTGTCAATACTATCACGTTTCACATATCAATCACCATAGTTACCACAATTAAAGCATTATATAATTTTAACATTTCAAAACTAAAGAGAAGATTTTATGATAGTAACCATATGTTACTGTACTAGAATTTGTGATTTATCATTGTCGTGGCAACTGGTTTGATATTTATCTTTAATAAATTGTCTTTAATATTTTCCCTCTGTGCACTGATATGACATAAGTACTGTTTTAATTTTCCCCTACCAATCCTGCTTGAATTTTCACACAACTTTAAGGTAAACAAAATAAATGTACCATATTTGCTCTATTAGCAGCACATGCTATTATTAAAATGGGGACAATGTGAAGTTAAGATTGTACCTGATTGGCTACCCGACCCCAACAGTTTCATCAATCAGCATGTTTGTTCTTTCAAAGTATCAAATTGAAAAATTGCTCAAATTTGGCATAAACAGTTCACTTGCAGTTTTCATGTATGTGAAAATCCCATCGGAATATCATATTTTGTTTTACTTGCATGTGTTCTTCATTTGAGATGCACTTCTAATAATTTAAAGCATATACGGTAGCTGTATTAGTATGCGCTTTACCACAAACTATCTCAACCTATAAAGACAATAATATGTTTTAGTCCCCCTTCGGACGCAGTCTGAAAACGGGGACTTATGTTTTGACTTCCCTGCGTCCATGCTTCCGTTCGTGCATGCATGCCTGCGTGTGTCCGGACCTGTATCTTAGAAATGCCTAGGACCAATCACAATGAAACTTCACACATACATTATTATATTATACATATGCACATCAATTTGTTCCACGATCTGATTCAAGATGACCGAATGGCGGCCATTTTTGTTCTAAAAATCATCAAAATCAAGCATTTCTCGGCTGTTTACAGATAGATTTTGTTCAAACTTGTTTATTAACACATATCACTTTTCTGAAGGGGTGAGAAGGCTGGGTTACAATTGCAAATAAAAATAAAAAGAAATAATTAAAACCTTAAAGGAAGACAAGGTAAAGCAAACTAATTAAAGTGTGTGTTGTTGTCAATGTTGCATATCCAAATATGTAGCTTTGTACATTGAGAACCATCACATGCGTCAGAATGCAATCCTCGGGGGGGGGGGGGGGCGGAGCTACGTCACAAGACGTTCCCCGCTGCTAAGACGCGCACCACTGTACATGCATTCCTAGATGGGCTCTGTGCGCGCTGCTGTGGAACGCCGGTCGAGCCGGTGAAGATTCGAGAAAACAACACGAACTCAACTTTGAAGTAATCCTAAACAACAAAATTTATATATGTTACACACGTAGGGCTAATCTTGTTACACTGTTCAGGGGAGTCTCAACAACCATCCCAAAGTATCGTTTTCTGCGAGTTTTTGGCCTTTGTTTTCACCGTGAGGGTTGCCAGGTGGTGAAAATGCCTGGATGTTCGCCCCGAGGATTAGGGCCAAGTATAAACATTCCTGTACTATTAAAAAAAAAAAAAAGGCAGAGTTTAAGGAGCTTCTGGCTGCAGAGATGAAGTGGATGGAAGTAGTTCATGATGTTGTGATTTATTTATGGAGCGCGTGCTGATATGTGGGCCATATAGTGTACTTCAAAGTGGAATTCCAGGTGCTATGTCTGTCTACATTACCACTAAATTGATGTAGTCACAGACTGTTTTAAACATGCCGTGTTGTTCTACAGTTGCTGCTGATGATATAATTATCTAATTTGGGTTGTAAATTGACGGTGCTTTCCAAACTAACAGTCCTACTAACGTCGTTTATGTCTGCTATTCCTAGAAATTTATGATTGCTTGTAAAGTTCCAAGGGAATGGCGGTAAAGTCACATCTGATTCAGTGTAAAATGGCCACATTAAACAAATCCTGTGTTTACACATCAGCATTTTTCTTTAAGTCAGCAGTTGAAGGCATATCAATAATGGATGTATTTAACATTTTATATAATGCATGTACATGTGCTGTCTTAATTCAAGATGTTTCAGTACTCCCTAATTGTTCATTATTGTGACTGACAATTGGGAAGTTTTATGCATCTGTTTTATTTGACTGAATTATGGGAAATGAATGTTACTTAATATCTATACTTACATGTATGCCCTAATTCCCACCATATTATCTCGGTAACACTCTTAAAAAATTTTGTTTTTCAAACTGTCACAATTTATGACAAAACAAATGGTTTTGCTTCTCATTTTAAAACCTGTGCGTCACACATTTTTGCAATTTTGTACATCAGTAAAGTGCATCACAAATGCAACAATGGGGAAATGTTTGTTTTATGATGATCTGGTTAATGCATGTATTCGAAAGGATTATTTGATAATTCATGTTAAAGGTTCAACTTATATCTTGTTGTGGTATTAAATAATACCAAAAAAAATCCCATTTACTGTATTCTGAATCATTAATCTTTTCACCACCAGTTCTCTTTTTTTCATCACAAATTCACAAAATAGTCGTGTTTATTCTGCACATTTCTTCAGAAAATTAGGACAAAAATAGCCAATTTTTTTAGGAAAAACTGAAAATTGACTCAAATTGTGTCTGTTGGCTCCAAAATTAGGGTTCATTTCAAGAAATATTGAAGAATATAAGAAAAAATTGCAGAAAAATCTGGACCCAAAGTCTGGTGGTGAAAAGGTTAAAATACAGTGTTTGCAATGCTTATAAAGCTAATACGATATGTGATTTCATATGTGGTACCAACAATAAAGATAATAAATTACATATAATTTACTCTACTTTTCTATCAATGGTATGCTATAGTTGTATGATTTTAGCTCCCGATTTAGCAATTTAAATACAGTCTGTGATAAATTATATTGTTGTGTGTTGCAGCCGTTGTCCTGTCAAATGCATCCTAGTATCTGTTACATCTAAAAATAACATCGTTATTCAGAATTCTTATCTTGAGATCACACCTGATAGTGACGTGTAATGCCCCAGAAATTGATCACATGATCTAACGATGATTCAGTATGCGTCTCTTGAGATTCATTGTTGAATTTTAGCGCATATCAAATTAAAATATCTGACATTTTGTCCTTTGGGACATCTGCAAATATTAAACTTGCCCAATTTTCTGCGTAAAGTTAAGTTTTTATTGTCACATGCTAACTTATAATTATTTTGTGTATTAGGAAATCCACAAAAAGTTGTTGTAGTGAAGGAATTCATTCAGCTTTCAAATCTGTATGGATAGTGAACGTTAGTACAGGTTACAGATATTAAAGAAATGTGTGTTGGAATCTAAAGTCTTTGCAAATATCAGATTGCTCTGCAGAGACAGCCTTGTATTTGTTTTTGCAATGATATTTGTTCTAACGTTTTAGATTTCATGATTAAAACAGGTTTTTTTTACCCCCATTTGTCTGTTCAATCGATTTCTCCATGCATACATGCCATGTAGTATAACTAATATCCAGTTTATAATAACTGGAGACATATAAATGTTAATACCCTGAAAAAAAAATCTAAAATATTTCTGTGATACTTTTTTTCAGGTTACTTACAGCTTAGATGGCTGCATAAGAAACCTAAAACTCCAGAATAATGTCTTAGATGTGGAATCGTCAACAACTCAAGTTGATGTCACTCCTTGCACTAAAAAAGTTGAGGATGCTGCTTACTTCAATGGCAATGGATTTTTAGTACTTGGTGAGTATTATTCGATTGATCTCGCGACTACCAATAAAATATTACTATCGTTGTTGAAGTCTGTACTTAGTAATAAAATGAAACTTGTCCTTTTGTAGTAGTTTAAGTCTTATAGAAACGTTGAAGTATAAATATTCTTATATTGAACAATTTGACAGGAGCTGAATTTTCTAATCTTATCTGTATAGAGCACCACTGATCTAAAATAGATATAATCTTAAATCCTCATTTTCCTGTTGTTAAAACTGGTGGATATCCAGTGTATTTTATTGCAAAAATCTCCTGCATGACTCCAACTTAAAATAGCACATCAATTTCATTGAGTTTGGAAACTGAATTGAAGTCTGTATTGAGGTTAATGTTGTTTTTAGGTTGCCATGGTAATGTCTTACTGTTGCCTTACACCTTAGCTGTCCAGTAGCAATTAATATAAATGATTTTTTTTTTCATGACAACAATAACTCATGAATTAATTAGCCGTATGAAATAAAGGTGTGGAGATCACGAAGGTCAATTAATCAGTGTTTCATAAATATTGAATTTGCAGACTTTGAAAATTGATGTGTTTGTTCAGCAGTCACGAAACACGACACACTGTGCCATGAACATTAATTATGTCACAACATTATGCAAACGAAAATTCAAAAGTTATTCTGTGAATGTGTTTGATATATACAGTCGCGAATGATAGATGGATGCAAACACTTGAGAGCTTTGTCTGCATTTCCTGCGACATAATTGCGTAAATGTTCCGTTGTGATTCTCCAAGTGATATGTTTCCAACCGAATGCCAGATAAGATCGTAACTCTTGTTTGGATAAAAAATCATCCTGAATGTTATTTAATAGTTATTGTTATTAGTTATAATATTGGTATCACATGTTTTGAATCATGTTCATCATTTTAAGTGTTAAAAGATTACGACGTCCAGGTCAAAGATCGGTTAGGCTGCCAATAGTGATTTTGACGAGTCTGCTACCGATCACAATGTTAATTCAAGTTTGGAAAATGTGGTGTACATATTTTTTATCTACATACATGTATCTCACTTTGGTATTTTGTGCATGAGAGCTTTCTAGACCTTGAACTCTGGTATTCTGAGAGCACCCACTTTTCTAGATCGAACTCCTTTAAACTGATTAAAATTTTGAGGGCCATCATAACATACAGGTGGGGCTTTGAGGTAGTGACCTTCATGATTTTCTTGAAATTTTGAACCCCAGAGACGCTTCAAGGTTTCATCAAGAGAAAGCTAAAGATATTATTCAATTTTTTTCGATCTTCAAAATTTGAATGTGACCTTTGGAAATGATGTTCGAGCTGACCAGAAACCAATGTCTTTTTGGCTTGAACTTGTTTTCAAAAGTTTGTATGAAAAGGCAAAGTCTGCAGATAGTCAGTCTACATTTGGATTATTCTGTAGTAAAATTCTCCTTCAAAACAATCTACAGATGGCACAATTTTTTTAATTTACATTATGTACTTCTACTGGCATCACGTACAGCAAATATTCTTTTCATACTGATAGTACTTCCATCTGAGATTCAATATTAAACTGTCTTTGTTTCAACGTAAACAACAGTTCACCACCATATGCTACTTGTCTACTTTGATGTATTTTTGTAGGAATGTCAGAAAAATTTGTAACGGAAATGTAAATAACAAGACAGTCTTTTGGGATTGCCAGCTGTTGATTATTTAGTCTTCTGTTTGGTGAGAATGCACGAAAACTTTTTCGTAGTGAAAATATCCGAGCTGTGAGTCATAGTAGCATTCTATTGATTAACCTAAGATGACTGCGTCTGAATTTAAAATTACATTTTCACCCCACTGTAAGTTCTCTGGGCTTTTGCCATTCAGATTCAGAAAGTGAACAGAAAATTTGTGGTCACCAAGAAACAAGTTTTTTGCGTTAGATTCTGTGCATATTTTTCAACTTGTCTAGAAATGTTTTTCAGTGGCATGGGCTGAAAACGTTGAATATTTTTACCGATATGAATCTTATGATAATGAAATATTTTGGAAAAGATAATATTTTTCTATTGTGTACATAGAATTTACGTTACGCTAGCAGTATAGACAAGAGCATTGGAATGTCATTTGTTTAACTAAACTTTCTCATCCAAATTTTTCTGCACTTTCTTCTTATATTCTTCAATATTTCTGGAAATGAACCTCAATTTTGGAGCCAACAGACAAAATTTGAGTCAATTTTCATTTTTTTCTAAAAAAAATTGGGTATTTTTGTCCAAAAGTGCAAACTATAAACATGAAAAGAGGGAACTGGTGATGAAATGGTTAAATTCTTACCAATCAGCATGTGCATGTCTGACAAAAAATGTCATGCATGGATCAGACTACTGTATCTTACAATCTGCTGTGACAACATTGCGCACATGTTGTTTTATTACCTAAGACACATGCATGTATATTTGATAACAGGAGCAGGAACAACAACATCATTATTTTTGTTTGTATTCGAACGACTTTTGGCAACCCTGTCAGTGCAAAATGTACACAGCTTGAATTACTAATGTGTCTAATCTAGCTCATGTAATTTGAATGGGGAATCAAATTTTGTTTGGTTCTTTGAATATATTGGACTCAAAACAGTGCTTCACTAACTTGTTCACACAAAAACTAACCTGAAAAACATTTTAGCCCAGTTTAACATTGATTCACTATATTCCAATTTCTGCTAATTTAGTGTCATTTTGGGACTGATTATCATCTCAGTTTAGCATTGATTTACTATATTCCAAGTTAATAGTTCTGCTGATTAGGGTAATTTTGAAACTGACTATCATCTCAGTTTAACATTGATTCACTAGATTCTGAGTTAATAGTTCTGCTGATTAGGGTAGTTTAACTGATTATCATCTCAGTTTAACATTGATTCACTAGATTCTGAGTTAATAGTTCTGCTGATTAGGGTAGTTTAACTGATTATCATCTCAGTTTAACATTGATTCACTAGATTCTGAGTTAATAGTTCTGCTGATTAGAGTAGTTTAACTGATTATCATCTCAGTTTAACATTGATTCACTAGATTCTGAGTTAATAGTTCTGCTGATTAGGGTAATTTTAGAACTGATTATCATCTCAGTTTAACATTGATTCACTAGATTCTGAGTTAATAGTTCTGCTGATTAGGGTAATTTTAGAACTGATTATCATCTCAGTTTAACATTGATTCACTAGATTCTGAGTTAATAGTTCTGCTGATTAGGGTAGTTTTAGACTTTTAGATTTAGTGTCATTTTAAGACTAATTATCATCTCAGTATAACATTGATTCACTAGATTCTGAGTTAATAGTTCTGCTGATTAGGGTAGTTTTAAACTTTTAGATTTAGTGTCATTTTAAGACTAATTATCATCTCAGTTTAACATTGATTCACTAGATTCTGAGTTAATAGTTCTGCTGATTAGGGTAGTTTTAGACTTTTAGATTTAGTGTCATTTTAAGACTAATTATCATCTCAGTTTAACATTGATTCACTAGATTCTGAGTTAATAGTTCTGCTGATTAGGGTAGTTTAACTGATTATCATCTCAGTTTAACATTGATTCACTAGATTCTGTGTTCTTTTTCGCAATGATGAGGAAAGTTGCAAAATTTTGTTTAGGATACCCTACTAAAAATGAATGTGAATAGACTACACCAACAACTGTATATTTTTCCTAATCCTATCAGGAAACAAAACCATTAATCTTGTTATTTATTGTATACAGTGTCATTAAATCACTGCGCATATTACGATAATGTCTGAAGTGCACATATTGCTTTAATTACATCACTGCACTTTTAGCCTGTCAGAGTACTATAATATGAAAATGATACATGTGAAATAATTGATTTTTTGATTGTGGTAATGAATGAGGCTGAGTGTGAAATCTATGACCCAAGGGGGAGAAATCAACCGTGTAGATTTTTAATAAAACGGCATAAAATAAATGGCTTGACATAATGTATATCGTATCACAGATGAGAAGTTCAGAGTTGGCAGTGATCTGACGATTGATCTAAAGTTCCGAACAACACAGAATGATGGATTACTACTCAGTGTTGCTAATGACCAAAACGATTGCTTGGGTCTGGAATTGGTTAATGGGAAGGTGAGTAGTATGCCCTCTTGTGGCAGACAGTGTACTATCTATTTTCTTTCATCGTTGTTGGACTACAGACATAGATGCGATAATATTGTACTTTAGCTGATTCTTATTCTTTCCAAGTGTAAGACATTCTTTGTGCCATTTCTCAGCTATTGTGGGTTGCTATGCCACTGAGTAAAAATATCACTAAACAGCATTACGTATTTCTCTGAGGTTTTATGTACTTTAATACTTAATGCTGTGAAAAGGCTGCATGTTTGTCAGTCAGAGTCTTTGGTGGCCTTTCTTTTGACACTCTGCTTCCTGTTCAATAAATCGAATAAAAGCTGTATCAGCAATTTTTGCTCACACTTTCAATAAAGTATTTACAAATGATATTTGGTGACTCGCAAAGAAAATTCAAATGCATGTATGAGGACAAGTCTAGAAATAACTGTCCTACTTCACCACTAGAGGGGGCTATATAGAGATAGAGGGATGTAGGGTTATTTATCTATTAATATATAAAATAACAGTTTTCTGAGTTTTCAATGTTCAACAAAATGTTAATTTATTAATTGTAGTCTTGAATTGAAAGAAATAGATTTAACCGAAAAGCATATTGAAGTTATATTTACTTATATCGTTCCTTCCCCATTTTGTGGGTCTCAATTTAGCAATTAAATATAAAGGTGAATGAATTTGTTGTTTTCATTTCAGCTTACATTACGTACAGACAATGGTGCTGGTGCATTCTCTGCAACGTACACTCCAGAATCCTCCTATACACTTTGCGACAACATGTGGCACACAGTGAAGATTGTCAAAGTGAAAAATGCACTGGAGCTTGTAGTTGATGGTCACTACCAAGGTGGAGCCAATGAAGCAGTCAGCAGTTCAGCAGACACTAATAATCCATTGTACTTTGCTGGATACCCTGGTAAGATATATTATTGAAGAAAAATACACATTTCAAAATGATGATGCCGTGCTGAACATATTTGTCAGATAAAATATTGGTACGATAGCTGAGATGTAGTACTGGTATTAGTGACTCTACCTACTCACAGTAAGCTTGCGTACAAGTGAAAATAAAATAAATGCAATATTTACCTTATGGTGGCCATCATCTTGCATGATGGCATGAAACTAAATAAGTTGCGACAAGTTGAGAAATATATTTCCCGATTCCTAAAATCAGAAAAGAAAGGACCAAACTATCACAGTCAAACAATCTGTTGGGGTAATATTAAGACAACCGCTACCAAATTCATCCGAATT